ACCTCACACAGCAAGAATCTTTCATACAAAATAACGTAAAATTTATCACGAAATATATAATAATAATAATGGATTATATGTCATAAAAGAAAGAAAGAGCCTAGGGGTATACGCACAGGAATCACAACTGCCTGTGCTTAACCTAAGGTTTCTCACGAGAAAGTATCTCGTGCTCATGAGATATGTTTCTTTTTTTTTCCCATGTCCCTTTAGGGACTCTGTAAAATACAACTGAATGTATGAATTTTTAAACCAGACCAGTAATTTTAGAGTATAATAAGTCTCTGAAATATTAAAAAAGTTATTAAAGTTATTTTAAAGAAAATTAATAACGTTGTTATACTATCCGATACATGAAATACTTTTTACCATTAATGCGACTTCTGATGCTGCATGGTTTTGATGCGATTGACTCCAGGGCAAAAAACTTAATGTATGGATTAAAATGTGTAACAGAGTTATAAATATATGGTTCCATTTGCCATACAAAAAATTAAACACAAGAAAAACCTTAATTTATCATACGGTCATTAAATGAACGCCGGGGAGCAACAGTCGGGCGCTACTGTCTTTATAGGCCATAAGGTGAACTCGATTATCGTTTCATCTCGCTCTGACATCTGAGAACTACACGATCTCAACTTCATAAATAAGAACGAGTTACGTTAAGCTTACAGCAAAAAGTTCGTCGCGAAATATCCTGCACGTTTTTTATATCGATGTATTTTATAAAGAAAAATACAATTTTGGTGCGCGAGCGGTGGCACGGTTCGACACGTGATCGTGCTACACCAATCGAGTAGCTGATTGACAGTTGTCATCCTCCTCCTTGATTTCATGTTTGTTTGCACAGTGGCAACACCTATACAGGTCTGTATACAGACCTGTATAGGTGTTACAGAATTGTCTATTCCACTCAGCACTGCAAAAAAGGCAAATTATCAGGCTGCAGTCATGAGGTCCTGCATCAAACAAAATATAGGTGCTCCATCACCTGCTGGATATGGTTGGCACCTAGATGATGGAAATCTACATGTCACATGGATGACAAGAAATCTGGCCCCTGACAGTATGTCTTGTGTCTTTGCAGGACTCTGTTGTACATACAGTACCTGTGTAGGCGTTACCACTGTGCAAACAAACGAAATCGAGGAGAAGGAGGATGACAACTGCCCTGACACTGACAGTGAAGGCTAATATTTCATGTGTAGCCTCAGAGTTGTATTGCAGTGGTTGCTTGGTTAATATAACCAGTCATTTTCTTATGCTGTTTTGTATTGTTTTATATATTGTACATACTGTATGTATATATGTTTTAATAAAGTTTTTTAATGGTTGATCGGTGTTCTATTTAGTTAGGAACAAATAAATGAACGAATGAATAAACAAATGTTTCTTGTCATTGATTACTTCCTTTTATTGATCAAAATGACTTAACATACAAAGTTCACCTCATCGTCTATTTTCCTCATTGTTCTTCGTGCAGGCGGCTATGTATAAAGCACTGTTTAGAATCCATTTGGCCCACTTTAGACTTTTGGGAGAATTCCTCTCTATCGGTAACGTTAAATAGAACCACGGAGAAAGCCGTGTTGCCGGAAGTGTTGACATCAATCAGCTACTCGATTGGTGTAGCACGATCACGTGTGGAACCATGCCACCGCTCGTGCAACAAAATCTTATTGAGAAGACGCTAGTTCTTTATAAAATGCATCGATATAAAAAACAGGCAGGATATTTTGCGACGAACGTTTTGCTGTAAGTTTAACGTAACTCGTTCTTTTTTATGAAGTTGAGATCGTGTAGTTCCCAGACGTCGGAGCGGAATTCAATTTCTAAAGGACTTTTCGTGGTTCACCTTACGGCCTATTATGGTAGGTGCACATGGTAGGAGGTCCGTCATTAATTAATTAGATTGTTAATTTTACCATTAACTGTACTGTTATTTACTTTATATTTTCAGCGTCAGACCTGTGTGTGTGTGTTGCTCCAAAATGGACTGACTTTCTTTTCACTTTTTATGCCAGAAATAAAAGATGACGTACCAGACGTACCAAGCTGATGATTTTACAGCAATTATTTAACACAACGCAAAGAGAGTTGCTTCTCCCTCTTGCTCTGACAGTCAGACATCATTATGAGCCAGTGGCCTTGCAATTTGTCACTGTCACTGCCTCATAATAGAGACTTTGTTTTCAAGATTTGCAAAGATTTATGACATTCCTGGCACTTTTTTCAAAGCAATGATGCACAACAAAGTCATTTTGTTTAATGCAAAGCCACTTTAAAAAATTGTACCTTTTGTGGGTTTTGGGGCTTATTTCCTGTGAACACAGATATAATGCCAGACATTGTGCCTGATTCTTTTATTCCAATATTTTTTTTAATCAGAGGAAACAGATGCAACGTGAAGTGCATGGGATATTGCTGGAATGAATGATGTCATTTTCATCACTGCTCAGTCCACTGTTCAACCTCTGAATCATTTATGCATTTCTATAGTTGTAAGAATTCAGGCCTGACGGCTGCTAAAAATTAATTGTCTCGAGACTCATGGTAAATATGAGATCATTCACTGTATTTTGGCGTAGACGATTTCACCATAAACTTAAGTGGCCTGGACACACACTGTGACTATGGAATTATCTCAGATAATCATTATTTCTATAAAGATGGAGCATTAGGAAAAATAATCTTCATTCAAAGACATTTTAGAATAATAAACAAAAAACATGATAACCCAGCAGACGAAATGTCAAATATATGGCGCAGAGGCCAAGGGAAGTTCAACACTTTTTAGTATCTATCACTCAGTTAGCAACCCCTTATCTCACAATGAACACAACAACATAGGCCATAAAGTGTACAGTTCCTTGAAGTTCATATCATTTGGTCCATTACTGCCTACACATCATGTTTTTCCCCCTTAATCGGCTTTAAATGGAATTTGCATGAAAAACATTTACATGTTCTTCTTAAGAAGAGCTACATATATTGACTACAAACTCTCCAGGGAAATGACGATACAGACCAATCAGAAGTAGCCTCATTCTTTTAGTGTTCTTTTTGCAACCAGTTGGTGTAAAAGTACAACCGTGACATTTTAGGTAGAAAAAGCAGAGTATTGCTAATCTTCCGCTGCTATGGTTGCTTGTCTGATTAACATGAATGGATATGCTGAAGCTAGCCACCACTCTCTTAAATATTAATTTGCGAAATTAATCACATTACATTTTAATACATTAAAATGCACATAGATTAGCACGCAGTGTATATCCAGTAATTCCAATGTACGTACATACAACATTATTGTTGCTTTAATACACAGTTAATGCACACGTTGTTATTTCTACACAATACTGACATTTTTTAAATTTACACCTGAGCACCTTGAGCATAAAATACCGTCATGTATTTACAATATGTGTTTGTCGAGTTTTCCAAAGGTAATCCACAGCTACTCTGTGATTAGAATTACATTTAAATATAAAATTACTACTACTACTACTAGCAATAATAATAAAACTGCTTACTAATGATAAGCGAGGAAATTCTCATTGCAATAGCAGCAAGTATTGCATGTACCATACTATACCATACATAAACATATTTGCTATACAAATACATACATTGTTGGACGAATTTCATTTATTATCATTGCTTCATGCTGTACTATCACTTTAAGAAACTGCTTGCTTCCCATCTTTACCTTGTCACACCCCCATTCTAACCCATTTTCACATCCAGCTTCCATATACTCACACAAAATCAAATGATATGTAATCTGATACTTTTATAAACTAAATAAAAGAGCAGAGGAAGGGTGCAGCAACTTGGAGTTGATGAGGAAGCTGCCAGATAAGTAAGCTGCACTCTCCCCTTGCAAGTAAAAAACAAGACGTCTTTTGTGTTGTTACTTTGTCGTCATATACTCATTCCCCATACCACTTCCATCCTGGTTCACAGCCTTGTCACCTCCCGCCTTGACTATTGCAACTCCCTCCTCTTTGGTCTCACCCACAAGTCTCTTCATAAGCTCCAACTGGTCCAGATCTCAGCTGCACGCATCATTACTAGAACCCCTTCCATCCACCACATCACTCCTGTCCTGCAACAGCTTCACTGGCTCCCGATAAAGTTCCGTATTAACTACAAGATCCTTCTGCTCACATTCAAAGCCATCCACAACTCTGCTCCACCATACATCTCAGACCTTCTTCATGTCGCTGTTCCCTCCCGCTTCCTCAGATCGTCCTCCTCCATTCATCTGACTGTCCC